CTTCCTCTGCAACTCATAAATGTGAGAGAAAAGAAAAAAAAAAACAAAAAACCACAAAATCAACTAATTTGAGTGGAAAAAAAAGATAAATATCTTGTAATTTTTACTGTACATGGCCTATCTTTAATGACTCATTTCATAAATTTTAATGTTGAAATCTTTCTTTTAATTTTTTCTTTTATTTCCTTAACATCTGTATTACTTTGCTATTAAATAAAACAACTTGCTGCTCTAAAATATGTTAGCTCCACAAAAAATGTCAAGCAAAATGGTTTTTATAGGGAAGGATATGTGGGGAAAAAACACCCCCAAAAAAGTCTGCTTTAATGGCCAGGTGAAGGTGTCATAGAACCAGCTCCTCGTGACCATTCCTGCCTGCTGGGCAGGAGCAGAGGACAGTGTGGGGCAGTGCCTCTGGCATTGCAGAATAGTTAAAATACTGATGGGTGCACATTTAGCAGACACTGCATTGAGCACTTTTCTGCTTCTGGCTGCACTGGTGGGTCTGTAACTTTAAGCAAAAGGAGGAGAGGGGAATACCACAAAAGCTGGCTGGAGGTAAGGTTTAAACCACTCCAGCTGTCAGCGAGTCGCAGGCCTGTGGTGCTATAATGCATGCCCAAGCAGTCCTCTAGGTGATGTAGCATGCCAAGTTTGGCTCCAGTGCCAAATCTCAGCAGGAGCACACACCTCTCTAACTTAAACAGCTGCAAAAATGTTTGCTGGGTTAGTAATTTGTCCCAGATTTAAAACCACATAGACGGCTAGAGGGTACTTTGACACCACACAGTGTAGCTCAAGCAGAAAGCAAGCTGGTTACATGAGAAAAGATTTATAGCCAAAGTGGAATAGCGAAGAAGTGCAAAATTATTAGAAAATTTCCAACTAAGTGCAGTGAGCACTTCAGATCACATATCCACAGAGGCACATGAAATGGAAGAAATGTCACGGTCAAAAGGCAGGGCAGCAGAAGAAAGCGTTCTTTAGCTTTCCTTGTGGTGAACTTTAAATAGCTAAGACAGCCTCTAACTCTCTCTCATGCTCCCCTCTCCACCAGAAACCTTTTGCTTACAGTACCTTTCCATTTATTTGTGTTTTCACTGCATGAGCACGTGCCTGCAGTGAGCAAATGAGTAGTGAAATCTGGATATGAAGAAGGTGATGACAGAAATAGATGATGAAGAAACGTAACCAGGTTTTTTTCCCCTTTCACTCTTCAAGAAAGCTATGTTTATGAAGAAAAATAAATAAAAGCAAATATTAGCCAAAAATTATCAAAACAATGAGAAACATTAACCAGATTTTTACAATATTTTTTTCTTTAGGACAGAAAGACAGATGTTCAATCTTTAATAAGCATAAAAAGGTGAATGTTAACTAAATGTATTTAAACTAAATGTATTCAAACCCAGTGGGATCTGACCATGAAGCAGAACTGAAAAAATGTGAATCAATGCTGCTGGCAGAATAAATGAAAGTGTGGAAAAGGGAATTTTTCCAATCATATGGTCTTAGACGGGATTTTTTTTATCACAGAGTCCTGAAACAAAGATATTCTATGTTTCTTTAGAACAGATAAATGCTTAAATACACTTTAATGAATTAGATACCTTTTATCAAATATGATATTATGAAAACAGTTGATTTCAGTTTCATACCAGATTAAACATGACTCCTATTCCCTTGTTCTATAATGTTTATGCTAAAGCTATTAAAAAACAAACAAACATATTTCTTCAGTTTAAAACAGAAAAAAATGAGCTTTCAAAAAAAACAAAACAAGAAAAAATGTTATCAATAGTCTGTGGACAAGGTAAATATATTAATTATAATCAATATTCAAGAAAAGGAACATCTGTTTACAAAACAACTTGGCAAGTGATATAACCCAAGGGATTATATTCTATGGAATTGGCTTAGTATCAAAAGAACGAGAGATTAACCATACAAAAGTTAATATCCAAATTATTTCTGACACACTGGTTTCTCTCTTTAGCCAGAAAGCTTGAAGTCTTTAGTACAGAAGACAGCCTTAGATGTGGGGGTTTGTGGGGGTTTTTATTAATACACTTGTGTATGCACATGCCACACTTACTTACCTAAAAAGCCTTACCTGAGCTTTTTCTTTGTTTGTTTTTATGTGAGGAGCAGTTATCACAAATATGCTTGAGTAAACATATTTTCTACTTTGAGTGAACATATTGCATATCACACTTTGAGCGTTTAAAAGAATAAACATGGACCTCTGTAAAAATTTACTGGCTATGTTGTGGCATTTATTCCCCAAATTGTAAGGATTTCTGCATAAACTAAAACTACAACTATCCCTTTCCAAAAGAAAAGTATGAGTGTGCAGATGGGAGAGTTGATGGGAGAATTGAGGTATTGGGAACAAGTAGGACCTCATGTTGATTTAATATACAATTTTGAGTGAAAGAAGAGAGGAAACACAGGGAAGAAATTGCGTCTTTGAAAGGTAGCAGACAACCACTAGAGAGAAGACCTGTTTGGATTTTTTATTTCCCCTTCCTTGAAAGTTGCTATTCAGCTCTGTGGAAGAGAGAAATCTGGCTCATTTTGCAAATGCAAAGCCAGACCACTGCCAGGAACCATTTGTAGGAGTGATTAATAAAACTTGTTTGCTTTACGGGATTTCCATGGAGGTAAAATGGTATGCATATAATCTTGACACAATCAGATAGTGCACTCTTAGAGTTATATGGCAAAAAACCAAAAAGAATTAGTATGTCTCTTTTAAAAGAGTGTCTCATTAGAGCATGCTTATTGTCTTCTCAGCAAATGTGGCATTTAAGTGTAGTGAGCAATGGCCAAAAGCAGGAAGTAATTCTGAGAAATAAATGGAAGTAACCAACCCAGTTTCCTGAATGGGGGTGAAAGTGGTTTGGCAATATTTATCCAAGATAAAGTTCATTTATGAAGTATTGAAATTAAAGAGAGAAGAAGGGAATGGCTGTGTGTGCAGGTGAAATTGTAACATGAAAACAGAATAGATTCTAAAGTTATAAATTAACTGAAATATCCCAGGTGGCATGAGCATGCAGGAAGGGACTTTCAGTAGCAGCAGAGGCTGGTGTAAGGGTTTAACTTACACCTTTAGATCTCTGCCCTTAGTGGTGCATGGTATACTAAAGAAAAAAAGACAGAATGCTTTAAATTGTTGCTCCAAAGTTCAGTCTGGCAAAAGTAAAACCAACATTAATGGCTAAATAGCAATAAAGAAGGGAGACAGCTCTTTAACTGTCTGAACAGAGGAAATGAACATCAGCTTTTGATGTTCAGCTTTACTTGTTAAATGTGAAATTCTCACATAAGCCCAGCAAAGGGCTGGAAAAGAGTTTAATCAGCAATATAATCCTACTTAAAGTACTTTCAAGTTCTACATGGAATTTTAAGAGCCTTTTTACAACTATCAGAGCAAAGTGGAATTTTATTCAAGAGGAGTAGTAGGTAGCATGACAGCTGAAAAACATCTAGAAATGTGGCTGAAAATTAGTCTAATATCTGCCCGGATGCCAATCCAATTTCATGGCAATTTAACAGCAGATTACCATTATGGATATGGTATTGAAATTAATCTTTCTCTATACTTAATTTAATTGTTAAACCAATATGCAGTAAATAATTCTTTGGATTGAGGTGGAGATACATATTCCCTTTTTTAAAGCTCAAAAAAATTATTCTCATTGCAAGATAGTATTTATGAGGAAGACCCTGAACATTCCTTCTGGGAAGAATGGTATTGCTGATAGGAAATTATCTGTAAAAGTTACTATGTATCATGTAGTTTTATCTAGATTTGTATATATTATATGTCATCACACGAAAATAGATCTCCTGTATCTCTATTTTTCTAGGAGATGAATGTGCAGGGCAAACCTCTTGTGTGGCCTCTCATCATCATGAAGAACTCAAGTAGCCATTCATATCATCTATGGTTTTGATTACAAGGGTATTTGAAATTTTTGGATTGAGTGTATTTTCAATTCTAATTTAGAAGATTGCTTCAGACATAGTGCATTTCTCAATAAAAATAAAGGTTCCTGGTTAACCTAGTCATGTTTGTTTTGGCTCTAATAGGGATAAAAGAAAGTTAATGAATTACAAATTAATGATCAAATGATCAAGTGGATACGGAGGAGAGCTACAAAGATGATCAGAGGGCTGGAGCACCTCTGCTATGAGTAAAGGCTCAGAGTTGGGGTTGTTCAGCTGCAGAAGAGAATGCTCTGTGGAGACCTTTTAGCACCTTCTGCTACTAAAGTGAGCCTACAAGAGAGCTGGAGAAGGACTTTACCAGGGCATGTAGTGGCAGGACAAGGGGGAATGGCTTGAAGTGGAAAGAAAGTAGGTTTAGAGTAGATAATTGGGAAGAAATCTTTTACTGTGGCAACAAGGCACTGGAATAGGCTGCCCAGAGGAGTTGTGGATGCCCCATCTCTGGAGGTGTTCAGAACTGTTCTGGATGTGACTCTGTGCAATCTGGTCTAGTGGAAGACATCTCTGTCCATAGCAGAGGGGTTGGAACTAGATGATCTTTAAGGTCCTTTTAAACCCAAACCATTCTGTGATTCTATAAAAGGAAAAATATGACTTATTAGAAGTCCTATAAAAGTCAACATTCCTATAAAAGGAATGATGACTTATTAAAAAAAAAATGGAGCTTGACTAATAAATAATTACCAGATAATTATTTTTGAAATGTGGAATATCAATATTAAAAACAATTCCTTCATAAGTATTTATAATTATTTAAGATAAGCATGCATTTTTTTTTAAAGAGCTTATATTTTCCTTTTCAAGTCAAACATGTATGACACTTTTAATCCATTTTGTTAAAGATACGTATATAAAAACCCAGAGATTTAGGTGTATATTAAGGAACAAAGAAACAAAAAGACTTTCTTTGAGAAAAAGATGTTTTTCTGAATTATGTAGAAGCAGATATCAGAAGATTTAATTGACAATATACTTTACCTCTGTATTGGGTGTTTTGCCAAAGTTGGATCTGAATTTATCCAAATTTCTGAGCAAGGAAGATCAATTGCATTGATATTTTGTGTAGATTTAAAAATAATTTATCCTCCTGAAATACTCATGTTAGGTTTGTATGTACTCATCCAGAAGCTAGTTCACTCTTTGTCAGTGTAAGCATTCTTGAAATTTAATTCTTGCCTTCCAGGTTTAACTAACCCCACTAAATACAATCTAGTGATGAGCACAGTATTCATGAGATTGATAATACAATGTTCATCTCTGTCACACTTGCTAATCATATATTTCTTAGTATGTCTGCTGGGACAATCTAGGGAATTTCTTAGAGGAAAATGTCCATAGATCCTGTAACCTAAATGTATGCATATAGTGTAAATCATATGCTATACAGCCTCCCTGTGTGACACACTAGAAGCCCAGAGCTAACACTGAAGTCATATGGACTGGAGGAACTTTTCTGTTTATTGACTAAAGCCGGGAAAAATATGTTTATAGGAAATAACAAGTGGCAGTGGGAAGATGTCTACAATACTGTCAGGATCAGAAAGTTTAAAAACTTCAAAACACCAAAAAAAAAGCCCCAATTCAGAAACATATTAATTTCTCTTTGTATTAAGATTCTTCATTTTGTGTCTCTTCTATTGACTACAGATCATCCAGGACAGACTGGAGATTACATTCACTCCCAACTGTTTAACCCAGTACACTTTCCCTCTGTATCATGCATGAACTGGACATGTAGATATGGAAGGTATGACAGTCCTTGGAAACCAGGCTGCAGTATACAGCTATCTGCAAATTTCTCAGGGGGAGCTCTCCATAGCATGAAAGAACAGAAGATGTTGAAGCTGAGATCTGTTAAAATGTCTCTCTAAGAGAACAGTGCTGCTCTTGAGGTACCTGGGTTTGATACTGGCATTGGTACTCAAGCAGAAGGCTTGCTTGGTGTGAGGCAATTTGAACAAGTAAGGAGAGTAAATTGGTCCCTTAGGTAATATAGAATCCAAGTAGTGCTCATTTCAGTGTAAGGATCCAGGAAAAAGAACAAAGGATATTTGTTGAGACAGAATAACAGATGCAATTATCTATTTTTTACATAATTGTCATGTCAAATTTATAATTTTATACATTCCCTTTTGACAAGAAGTTGCAATGACTAGCCACATTATTTTCTTACAGTGCTCAGAAGTAAACTGCCAGTTTCAGGACAGATCTCCTTGTCACAACTGCCTGGAAAAGAAACACATTACCAACTACAGTACAAATGCATACTACCATAAGATTTTAAATTTTTATGTGCATAAGGTGCAATCCAATTTCTTTTCACAACATAATGGTCATAGATTTAAACCTTTTGGCAATTATAAGGTGGGAGTTTTTGTTCTGTACAGTCCACAAGATCTCTCTTACAGAGAAATAATAATAAAAAAAGGGTTTAAAGATCTCAAGAGAGGTATGAGAACCTTTTGTTTTCTATAAAATTCAAAATTTTCAACAAATAAATGTTTGTATATTGCCTGACCAAACTGGTAAAAAATAAATTGCTTTACTTGTTTTGTGGTTTCCCCAGATATTCAGTGTCTCTAGTGAAGAGCTACAAGTGTCTGTTTTTCTGGGGAGTGGCACCAGTTGTGACCCAGTTGATTGTATGCACCCTGTACCTTCTCAGGTGGCCTTGCTTTATTGATTTGGTGTTTGAGAAGTCCAGACGCTAATGCTCCTAATGATCAACCATTCTTTTTGACTTTTAGTAACAAGTATTCTCATGCAGTTAATATCAAACAGAACTTTGTGCTCTACATCTGTTATTTCGAAATTCCCATTTTTGAACTCCCCTAGTCTCAAGTAAGTCGTACATTGTCTTCCTTTTTTACTGCCTACAATCTTTTCACCTACTTCCAGGGCCCCATGATGTAAAATGTCATTTTGCCGATCTTCAGTTCCAGTGACAACTTTAATTTTACTGATTTTAATGGGCTTTTCAAATACGATGCCATAGAAGTCTCCAGTAGAAGGAGCTTTGCCCCAGAAGTACTCATCAATGCTGCTGTAAGCCTTGCTTGCCTCGTAGTTTTCAAATACATTCATATTGGTGTGCAAGTTTGCAGGTGGGTTGTCAGGGATATCAAAGGATTCCTCTTCAAAATCATCATCCTTTAACTTATTTTCAGCTCCTTTGTAAGACGAGTAGTATCCCATGTGCTGGAAGAGAGATGGCTTAAAACGTATCACTTCCTTTTGAGCTAGCAGCCCACGGAAGTGGATGAGCAGCCAATCGCAAGGCATTTCTTGGTAAAACATCAATAGAAAATGGGCCAGGCGTGGTAGGTCATGAGAATGGTAAAGCTTTCCAATGTACCCCAGCTTGGAGAATTCCAGTGTCACCCAGTAGGATCCTTCTCGTGAGGTAATTACTTTCTTAACAGCAGTCAAAAAATTCTTTGAGCAGCGAACATCGTCTTCCAGCATCACATAGTAGTCAGAGAGATTAGCACAAAAGTTTAGAAGGAAAGCATAATCTACATTTTGTTTTGATCGAAACTTCACACGGTCCTCGGGGTCATTGTAATTTCTCTTAAGGCCATCCAGTACAGGATAGTAATCCTCAGGGACGTGAATAACTATTAATCTGCCCGCAATTATATGATGTGCAAATTTCTGTGAAATATCCTGGACCATCCCTTCACACCAGGCTGAGTCAAAATCTGCCAGCTGTACTACCACTGCAATTTCTTTTAGTTCCTCATAGCTTGACTGCTCAAATATGGACTTGATGGTCTCAAGCAAGTAGTTTCCCTTTTTCCGTTTTACAGAGGAAAGGCCAATAGTAAGATACCCTGTACAAAAGACAATTCAAACAAAAACTGAGTATCTGATATTGGAAGCAATTTTATCACAGATATTCTCCAGAGCTGTGTTTATATTAAACAAACCTCGTGAATGGTGAAGACTGCAAAATTTGGTATGTGAATTTATTAAGCTGCATGCTATAAGGGACCTTTATTGCCTTTTCATTAAGAGGTATGATATTGCAAGCAAACAGACATATGGAGACTATTGTGTTAAACATTCACTGGATTACTGCAAGGAGTAGCATGCAGGGGACAAATGGCAAAGCAGTGTGTACATTTATGCCTTGTAGACAAAACCATGTATACGATAAGGCTGTAAATCTGCTAAAAGAAAGGGGATTATGAGGGGATTATTCACACTGTATTTTGAAAGCAAGGAACTACCAAATGCAGCACTTTTATCATTTTAAGGCCTCTAAAAGTCTAGTTGCATCTGTGCATAACTTGACAGTTTTATGAGTTTTGCATGGATAATTGTTTCTCAGTGTGTTCATTTTTAGGTGCATTTGTCTAGTTTTTCCTTGCTAGTAGTTTCTCTTCTAACCCTCTTTCAGGACTCATTAAGCATTTTACAGGGAGCACCCTCTTGGAAGATACAATTTAGACATTATTTTAAAGTAGAAGAGAACTTCTCTCCTTGCTTGTACAAATAATTTTTAATGCTCTTACATTCTTTCTAGACAGAGATATATCTTATAAAACAAGAAATTTAATCTCTGCTGTTTTGTAGTCATTGCCATTGAATTTTTACCAGGATTCCAAATTAGGGGTCTTTTTTTTCAGATATTTGCTAATATATCTCTATTTTTCTAACTTCTGATGCAAAAAATGTCAAGACTTTGTAATTGATAGAGTGTACTTAGGTTGAACCTACCCCAGATTTCTTAAAATATAGTCCTTTCTAAAAGGCTGCTCTGATAGTCATTCAGTGTTTCCCTTGAGGCTTGTCTGCTCAAAATGAAGTTGTACAGTCAAGTACAACCTCCAGAAGTCATTTACACTGCCTACAGAGCCCAAAATTTTTCAAATCTAATTTGAACAAACTTTATAGCTTTCTACAACTCATACATTATTTTATTTTACCTCCTGGCCTTGGACTTCAGTGCCTTGTTTATGTATGTGAAATGGTTGATTCGGAACCATTTGGAAGCAGGTGAAAGGACACCTGCCTGAAGTCTAGGTATAGCTGTATTTCACATTTAAAGGAAGGTCTAGAACCATCTCTGAAATAAAAATAACTACATAGTCCATCTGCAGATGGCTGTGAGAAGAATCCTCCTTTACAGTCCCAATAATAGCACAATTCAGCTCCCATTTTAGCACAGCTAAAGGAACAAGGAGGTCCATTTGCAGCTGCTGGGCTGGCAGAATAGTGGACCTGAGGGGTGTATCTATGTGATGCCAAGCATACTTAAGATAGGATTTACCAGTTAGACAGAGATTGACAGTATGGTCTCAGAGGGTGGTTGCAGAACACCACCAGCACATGCCTTGCTTCTGCTTTCTAAATCAGCTTCCTCTTGCCTGGGAGGAGATAATGGAATTATGCTCACATGGACCACCCAGGGGCTGCCTGCAGGATATCCACAAGTCAGGCCTTTGGTCAGAAGGTAATCAGGCTGTGGGGCAATCACTGCTAATTACAGACCAGCAGCCATTCAAGAATGGCCTATGATAGTTGTCTCACCAGCACTCTTGTGACTGTCACTGCCTAACTCAGCCCCTCTTGCATAGAAATACCACAGGGACTATATGGATTTCACTCCTTCTTAAGGTACCTCATTTTGCAACATTCAAATTGCAGTTACTTACTTTTCCTTGGCAAAGGTGTGCCAGCTAGGTAGCGATAGGAAATGTTTATAGATCCTGAGAAATTAGACAAATCTTTAAAACTGTGAACATAACGCTCTGGGTTGAGCTGGTGGGTGGCTGTTTCTCTGATTAATTGCTTGTCCCCTTCCTATTAGCGGGAAAACAAAAATAACAAAAAAGGGAGAGAGACAGAGAGAAACACATTTGTGAATGCCAGCTAGAGAGGAAACATGGACAGGCAGGTTTCCAAGAATAACATTTTTCAGTTTCAGCTTTCATGAAAGCATGTGGATGTCACCTCATTTAAAACAAAAACAAACAAACAAAATCCCCCCAAACCCAAAAGCATTATTGAATATCATACATTTTGGCTACAGAAAATCTACTATAAACCTTCAGATTACAGTATAAGGAAAAAAAAAATACTTTTCATAAAATTCTGGAAAGGTAGCAAACATTAAATTATTAGCCAAAAAATACTGTGGTACTCAAAAGAGAGATAAGAAAACATTAGTCAGCATCAGATAAAATAATTTTCACAGATGTAGAAACAGGAAAGATTAAAAAAAAAATGTTTTCAGTGATTAAAAAATCTACAAAAACTGCTGCAAAGGAAAGACAAATCTAGATCCTGGCATCTGGCTCATTTTTCTCAGAAGCTTCTATTCAGGTTTGCAATAAGCTGAAATGCTTGTGATCATGCAGACAGTACAAGTTTCTCTGAATTTAGAGAACACTTTTTGATGGCATAGTCAAAATGAACGTTTATCACCCTGCCATGCCTCTTCTTCCTGCCTTCTTCAGTCCTTTTCTTCCAAGAGGCTTCCCTAGTCATAGTGAGGGCACAGAAGAGAAAGAGTGGCTTCATCATGCATAAGTGCCCTGTGCATAAGATGACTTGGGCCCCAGGAAAAATCTGTTTCTTAGTCCTTAAGAAAAGGGAGAATATCTAAGAGGTCATGAAGACTGAGTTTAAAAGCAGGAATGCTTATTTAATTCACCTGGTTTCATTTAGTCTGATGACAAGCACATGTATGAATGAGTTAGTTTCTTCTGATAAATGCAGTATATTAATGCACTAAAACTTCCGGATCTGTCCTTAAATGGGAGCATTGTGCAGTAATAGTACTGCTGCTAACAAGAACAGCCACAGAAACAGTAAACAACGCTCATATTTAATGGCATAAATATTAAAAATGTGTCAAAAGATAAATTTTATAGCACAAAGAAGTACTTCTGTAAACTGATGCTGCACTCATTTATAGTTCATTGTTTTTCCTGCACAGAAATAGTAAATAATCCACTTCTGAGCTTTGTAAAGATCTTTGGCAGACATCCAGAGGCATCTACCTGCACTGTTCTGCTCTCTTGATCTTCAGTGACTCTTGAGCAATTTCTCTCTAGTGCTTATGTGCCACTTTGCATTTGCTCATAAATTATGAGGGGAAGTTTGATGATTAGGTTCAAGATTAAAATGTGACTCAGTGATCTAGGAAGAAAATATACCAAAACTTCAGGAGATTTTCCATGAAAATGTCAAATGAAAAATAAAAAAGGCTGGTCCAAAAACTTTCTTTTTAAAATAGTATCAAAACACTGTGTCATGGGCTCCAGAACGGAGCATCAAGATTCCTTATTTCATAAGGTCATAGAATGAAAACTTATTCTGCTGAGGTTTTGCTACATAAAATGTTTAGAAATAGACAATGTCCGAAGAAAATGTTTTGATTTTAACAAGCAAAATATCTAAACTGACCACAAAAATTTTCCTTTTTTCTTCCCTCTTTAATAAATCCCTTTTGTGGCTAACATTTCTTTTTAATAGTTGCTATTTCATTATTCTGTTGAATGATGGGAAAAACTGAAATTAGATTTTTTCGAAAGATTAAAATCTGTTTCTTCTATCTCTGACTACTATGCAGAGGTCAGTGAAGCTGAGGAGCTTGATTAACTCTCCTTGGTTTTCTTCTCTAGCTTGTTCTAGAATGGTTTTGGCTTTGTAAACTGACCTCTAACTTACATTCCAGTGTTTGCTGGGAGTTTCATGTTGGGTGTCAGAGGATGAAGTGCCAGAGTTCTCCACCCTTTAGGAAGATACTCTACTCTCCTAAGGATGATGTATCAATTGCAATAGTGCTATTCTTTGCATAGTGCCAAAAATAGTGATTAGTGTTCATAAAAGAGTGCAGAACACATGCTTCACTTACAATCCACTTACAGCTCTGAATAGGTATAAGACCCCCTTGTTTATATTGTGATATCTGGTATATTTTAGTTTAACATGTCTCCAAAATGCTTGATCAAGTGTAGTTCATATGCTGCAGATGAAGCACCTTAAACTGTTTTTTTAATACACATGTATCAGCACTGCACAACTGCATACCCTCTACACAGTATACTTCAGCTATTCTGCCACATGGGCCCTTTCCATTTCTGCAGCAAATACCCTGCAGAAAACAGTGAAGGGATGTGAAAACAGTGAAGGGACATGTGAGATGCTTTGAACAAAACCAGAAAGTTTCTCTTCTCCCTTAGGGCTTACCAGAATTACTGTCATTTTAATACTCTAGCTTTTTGAAAAAGAGCACTTGTCTTACATCTGGTGCCAGAGACACCAGCACCACAACCCTTTGCACAGGGTGGTGCAAAGGTCTGAGACTGGGAGGAGGAACTCTGGGTCAGTTGTCTTCCTTCTACCAGTTACCTTTAGAAGACAGTCCAGAAAGAGATTGGCTGCAATTCAGAGAGCCTTTGGGGCTCTGAGGACTTTCACATTTTCATTCCCTAAGGGAAACTGGTTAGCCTGCTGTCCTTGAAAATTTTACCCTAAGTATTTCTCTTCACCACAAACACTGAAATTGCTTATCTTTTACCTCAGCAAGCACACCAGACATGGTGTGTTTGGAGCTGTCAGACAGGGTCAGGAAATTTGAGAATAAAACTAAATAAATAAGCTGAAAAGTCAACATCCTAACACATTTGAAAAACACTTGATGGACCATAAAGGTATCAAGAGACCTGGAAGAACTCTCAGGAGATTTGGCAAGAGACTTGGCTGAGAGCTACATGAATGCAAACATGCCAAACTGTGATGAGAGAAGCAATGAAAGAGAGTGAATTTATAAAAGAGAGGTGGGGGAAGAGCAAATTAAGAATAAGACATGGAGCCATCTGGGGAGCTGGCAAATAGATTTCAAAAATAAGCCAAGAGGAACACCATTAGCAGTGATAATAAAAGCACTTTCAAGAACATCTGGGGGACTTTGAAACAGTTAGTGAGCAGAGAAGAAATATTAGGGAAAATGCCACTAGGAAAAATAAAGTGATAAGCCAGGTCAAATTTCATAACCAAGAAATGTGAAATACATAAAAAAGTGCAAATCCTCAGTGTTAGACATGGAAATATGTCTGTAATGGAGTGACATGTTACAAGCATGGCCTATCTTTACAATGACTTAAAAAAGTACTAGCATAATATTAATATTGTAAATATTTACTGTTCTAAGTAATTTTATAATTATAATATTTTAAATTAACTAGGACTGTATACATGGTTCTGATAAATAATGTAAGGATTTTACTACTTGTATATTACACTTTTTGACCTACTATTATGTTTCTTTTCTTGTTCTTATGTAGACACAAATGAGATCAGAATTCATCTTTCAAAATATTGGAAAATCCATACTGTCCCTGTTCAATTCAAGATACAGACAGCACTATCTAGTCATATCACAATATAAAAAATTCAATTTAGTCATTTTACTATTTGCAAGATCCAGTTTTTCAATCACTATGTTCTTTCACTGGGCCCAGTCCAATCTCCAAAGAACTGGAAATTCAATCCATTAATCGAGTCTCCAGGACTCACTTGGCATTCAGCACTGAAACACCCCTAGGTAACACACAAAACATAGAGTTATGTTATGTTGTCAATAGCTTATTTGTTGGAATTCCTAACATAAATATTTCCACATTTTTTTTCAAAAACATAAACTTACATTAGGTTTCATTTGTCTAATTTTTTATGCTGTAGCACTGAACACATCAGACTAAAATCTGAATTACAAAAAAGTAAGAAAAATACAAAATAAACTCACTAAAATGAAATTATTTATGCAAGGAGCTTAAAGTAGATGGAATGGGTGTAAATTTTCTTTTATAATTTTATTTCTATAATAACATTTAATGCAGCATTCAGAGGTGAGATTTGCAGTGTGTACTGAAAAACAAGCTCCCAGCTCACACAAATAGTTCAGACATAGTTTATCCTCAATAATTTACTGTTTTACTAGGGGTGTTTTACTGTTTTGTTGTTCCACAATCACTTCTTTACAACTTACCAAAACATAACCATCCTCAATGTACAAGTTCATGAACAGCAAGCAAACAACAAGGATTCCTAAGAATGACACTGCTGATCGTTTCCGCAAGCATCTCATTTTATCAAAATATTTCAAGTTGTGTCTCGTGAAGAACTGCATACAGTAGTGTCACCTATGAATAAAACCACAGTGTTACAAGAATGGTCCACCTGATAAGCATGACAACAACTAAACTTACCTTCAGAGGTATCAAATCCCTTCAAACATACACAGACTGCACTTTGAGGCAGAATTAATTTCATTTAACCATTGTCATCTTCAGGTTTAATACACAATCTTAACTATAAACTAAGCTCCTTTTTTTGTGTGTGTGTCAGTAAAGGAAAAAATACATACCTGCTGTCATATGCATTTTAAAATGAGCTTATGATGTCACTGTGGCAGGAGTGCATCAACAGTTTAGTTCTATGCTTAACTGTCAGATCCCAATTTGGTGGCTAGAGATGATGCTGTGCATTGATCCCCCAGGTACCTGCATCTCCCAACAACAGGCCAGGTCAACAGGCCAGGCAAGGAGGAAATCATTCCATGACTCACTGCTGTTACCAGTAGAAGAATTCTGTATATCAGAGCTTCCAGGCACAAATAAGGTACCTTCCCTGAAGTGAAAAAGCACTAGCAAGACTGTTTAACATCCCTTAGCCTTCGGCCTCTGTACTAGAGTGGGAAAACTCTCAGTGGAGGTATTATTTCCATCTTCCAAATCAAGGTGGGTACCTTCAGCCAGACACATCTAAATAGAGTACTGGGAAATCCTTACAAATCTGATTAGAAAAATCAAATAAGGGTGGCACAGAGATCATGGAGCCCCTGAGAATTTCTGTTCAAGGTGAAGGAAGAGAAATGTCTAGTCATATCGCAATGTTGCATGTTCATTTTAGACATTTTATTCTGTAAAACAAGATGAATGCTGTTCTTGTCCACCAAATTGTAAGCACTAATCTGTGTAGGACTGTATGTGTTTGAACAAGATTTGGCCCTAAATTAAAGATCTCACTGCTGAAATTCTGAGGGATTATTAGAAAAACATCAGACTATAAACCTATTTTTTATGTATTATATTCTTACTCATATTTTGACTACTTTCCACAGTAAATAATGATTCTTCAATCAAATTGAATATACACAAGTTATATGCAAAAGAAGAGTATAGCCAACCTGTGTAAAGTAGTAAAAAACACTACACATGCAATGGTTAAACCCTGCACTTAAATACATTCATTTTTGAAAGTGTTGAACATCTACACGGATATGAAATAGGCTATATTAGGAGTTCCGTAAATTATTTGTCATGTCATACAGAAAATTTTCTGTCCTAATAACGAAAAACCTACCAAGCACAAAATCCAATGTATATTTGTTTTTCCAAACTGAATAAATACATTTAACAATGTAATATGAGTCCATTAGACTCTAGAGAAACAGGAGCCAAATATATAAAATATTAGTAATACAATTAGTAATTGCAAGGAATCTATAGATTCAAAATGAACTGCAGTAAATGGAGGCTGGTTGTACACAGAATGTTTTTATATTCACTGTGTTGAGAATAAAACCAATTTACAGGCTGAAAGAAGGAAAAAAAGGAATCAGTAACAATATACATTTTTGTCTGTCTTTATTTAGGGTGGGCTGAATTACAGAAACCTGATTACTCAGAAGCTTAAAACCCCAGTGTAGATATTTTTTAAAGTTACATCAAGGATTTCCTTTTTCTTAATATCTAAGGATATTGAAAATAAACTTCAGGAAGGAGGTGGTAGGACATGAATCTCTAATCACTAGACCATGCAACTCCCTGTGACAGCACAGTGGTTGTTAGCTGTCTGTGGATTCCAGCAGGCTGTGGTGGAAATGAAAGGTTGCCCCTGTTTTAGAAAAGCCTGTGGTACACATACAATTTGTGTTTCAATTTTTTTTTTTTTTTTTTTTTTTTTTTTTTTTTTTTTTTTTTTTTTTGTCCCCTTCTCCTCTGCCCCCTCCCTTCTTTTCTTCACGGTACAATTACTGATTTTCAAATCACTACACTCTTTTAAAAATCAATCAGAGGATCACTGGATGGATTAAATACTGACACTTCTCATATTAGTGGCATTAACTATCCTGATTATTGAAAATGCAGTTAGTCTGGGTTAGAGTGCTTGCAGTCACAGTCAGCATATTACATTTTCCTTGGGTTTACAAAAAAACAACCAAACTTGGAAATAAATAAATAAAAGTCACAGGATGAATGTATGTGACATATTTGTTGGCTGGACTGTGATACACAGCTCTCCATCTATGCCCTGAGCTCCTGTCTGAAATCCCCAAAGGTGAGGAAGGGGCATAGAACTATATTTCTTGGTCATACTGTATTAGAGCATTCCTTTGTTGGACTAGGAATAAATACAGAGGGAATTCCACAGTTGAGGCTAGAGAAACATAAGACTGTCGTGACTAAAACTGGCGTACAGAGAGAGAAGAGCACAGTCGTCACCACGAAGAAAACAGCTGCACTGCTCCTGCTGCTTTCACACGAAGCCATTGCATCACTGTTTTGCACGTGGGAACACCTGAAAGCAGAACATCGTGCCACTGGGGGTCCTCTGTTCATCAGATCTCTTGGTGGGTCCGTACCAAGCGAAGGCACGGCAGGGAAGGACGCCCGAAGGAGGGCGCGCCCCGGTGGGTCCCGCCCTGGAGGAGGCTCTGCCACCGCTGCTGACACCAGGGGGCAGCGCAGGCTCGCCAGGCCAGCCCCAGCCTGCTGCTCACTGTCCCCAGCCTGCTGCTCACTGTCCCCAGCCTGCTGCTCACTGTCCCCAGCCTGCTCTCACCACTGTCCCCAGCCTGCTGCTCACTGTCCCCAGCCTGCTGCTCACTGTCCCCAGCCTGCTCCTCACACTGTCCCCAGCCTGCTCTCACCACTGTCCCCAGCCTGCTCCTCACCACTGTCCCCAGCCTGCTCTCACCACTGTCCCCAGCCGGCTCCTCACACTGTCCCCAGCCTGCTCTCACCACTGTCCCCAGCCTGCTCTCACCACTGTCCCCAGCCTGCTGCTCACTGTCCCCAGCCTGCTGCTCACCACTGTCCCCAGCCGGCTCCTCACACTGTCCCCAGCCTGCTGCTCACACTGTCCCCAGCCTGCTCCTCACACTGTCCCCAGCCTGCTCTCACCACTGTCCCCAGCCTGCTGCTCACTGTCCCCAGCCTGCTGCTCACACTGTCCCCAGCCTGCTCCTCACACTGTCCCCAGCCTGCTCCTCACTGTCCCCAGCCTGCTCTCACCACTGTCACCAGCCTGCTGCTCACACTGTCCCCAGCCGGGTTCTCACACTGTCCCCAGCCTGCTCCTCACACTGTCCCCAGCCAGCAATTGTCTGAAGGTGCTGCCATCCTCTGTAAGCCTTTAGCCCAGGATCATACATATATACATGCAGAATTCCTTACATCTTCCTAGAGCTGTCTCCTCTTGCATCTCTGTATCCACTCTGTGGATCACATTGTGGAACACCACACCAGTGAAATTTGCACAGAAAAAAAAGGTGAATCTCACCCTTTTTTGCAGATAATGTCATTCATCTTTTGAAAAATAGTCTCAGAATTTCCTGCAGTGAGACCTCTGATGTTCTTTAAGACCATTTGAGCAGAATATTAACCATTAATAAAAATCTTTTACTTTGATATTGAAAAAAAGCTACAATTCATAATTCAATTCTGAAGGCACAGCTTTGCTTCAAGATTTTATGTCTTCATTATTCATGCACAATTAAGTAGCTATCAGAATGGTATAAATTCAATTTGTTTCATAAAGCTGACATTAAGCAGTTAAACAAAATAATTAATAAACATGCATAAATTATAAATATTTTCCTTTCTAAATGAGATGTATTGCTTCCCTCAGTCTCTAGAGAGGAAACCTGTAAGACCACAGATCTCTATGTACATGGATGTGTTGGTATCAGGCATACATGTACAGTTTTACATGGTAATGTGAAATTATAATTCCTTTGTCTTTCTAAAACAATACACATATAAGGGGTGTGAGCCAAAAAATTCAATGACATACCTTTATAGTGTGCAGATGCAGTTCTTTATAGGATCTACAAAGGTGTGAAATCTGTGTAAAAGTTCAAGAATTGATTTTCACATGGTAATGCAAGGTCTTCTCTTGCACAATTCGCAACACAGAAGAATTTTAAATTCTTTCATTTTTTAAAAAAATTTAAATCCCAAATGACCATCCAGAAAGAGACTGTTTTTAATGTCAAGTTCTTGAAACCAAAAATTGAAATGAAAATATTTAAATTTACTTCTATTAAAATTTTAAAACAAATTTCAGTTTGGATTTCAATGCGGCTATTCCCAAGAGGAAAAAATTACATAAATCAAGATTTTTTTCCCTTATTTTCCTTTTTCAGAGGAAAAGACTTTTTGCAATCCGTAGAATAATTTCTGTAGTCCACATTCATGCACACTCACTCTGGTAAACCATTTCATATTTGATCTATTCTAATTCTTCATCACTTTCTAATAATCCTAGGATTTGTGCTTTTTCCTGCTTTTTGAGATTGTCACTTACTTTCCTTACATATTTTCTCTATAAACAGATACATAAAAAGGCCCTGTGGTGTCACTTTACCCTTAAGGAGGCCAACACAAGTTAAGGATTTAGCCTTACCTAAATACAGTTAATCTGCTTGTATCTGCAGCTGTACAGGGGTGGAGCAATGAGGTGGTCTTTGTATTATATTCTGGTCTGCTTGAGTGCTGTGGCCAAGCAGCTCAAAAAAAGTGGCTTATTTACAGAGGCACTGATGACTGTGAGAAATGGCAACTGGATTATTTTAATATTTTTAAATGAGGCAGGTAGCTTTACCTGTCACTGTAGCGTCCATATCCCTTGAGGTGGAGCAGATCCACTGCCACATTTATTATATGACACAACACAAAAATAACATGATTGGATTATTGAAATCCTTGCAAACTTTATTGCAATCCCTGATTTGACTGAGACACTCAGAAGCAGGCACTTCATCCCTCAGTTTTGTGATAGGCTCTTCTACCGCTCTGTTAGTGAACTGCTTTCCTTGCAGCTCTTAATGCTTGTTCAATGTGTTTTTCAGTTTTTCTTTGTGCAAGGCTGCACAGAATACCTCAAGGATTGCATTCAGTTATCTTTATAAAGTCACAAAGGAAACACTTTCCAAAAAAAAAAAGAGAAAAAGGGAACCCCCCCCAAGAAAACCCATTTTTTTTACATGGTTATTATTATATTTTGCATGTACCATGATTTTCTTATACAAGATTAAAAAAAACAAATCCTAAATTGTGATGTAGACTTGAGCTATAGAGGCTAGTGTACTAGAGAATTGTAATGGATAGGTTATTCCATGGGGCTCAGATAGACTCCCAGGCAGACTCGCTGTCTGCCTTACTGAAAGCCTGAATGTACATATAAAATGTTTAAGGCTGACAGTCAGGATGTTCACTGCCACTGGCAGCAGAGGAAAAAAAACTATGTTGAAGGAAAGCAAAGTTTAACTCAGAATGAAGCTCACAAATCCAGAGGAGCTCAGGTTTTAAACTAGCCATAAGTAGATTGTGTGGCTACACATGCTTAAAAAATGGTTTAAAGATTATTATATCATCTGGAATTTGGGTTCTAGATACAGGATGTTAAAAAATGGAGGTATATTAGTAGGGAGATTACGCAAAATTGACACTGATAAAAGAACAGGCAAAAGAAGTTTTAGAAAAGAATTTGAAAGTGTTATTATCCTTGATCCACAGAAAGTGGGAGATTATTTCAAACACTAATGTAGCATACAGATATATACAGACCCCAACAGTTTTGGGAAAGGGATGAGAGTTTGGGAGGAAACATGATTCAGCTGAGGCAAGTTACTAAACAATACAGAAAAGCAAAGAGCTTAAATTCAAAGCAGGTGTTGGTGGATGAAATGTCTTTCCTCTCTGACAGCTTCAGAGTGATACAAAATGGAGTCACAAAACTCTGGCTGCAACTCTCTCAGCAAAATGTAATACATTTCTTCTGGCATGGAGGAGTCAAGTCTAATCAAGGGAAAGAGATGACTAAGAAGTGTGAAGTTGCATTGATTTAGATGGTAAAGCACTATCTAATCCATCATTGGATGGGTGGCTGTGTACCACTGGATATATTTTATCAAGTAAGTTGTAGTGTAAAATATGGGTTTTAGAAAAATGATATAGACAGAGAGTTAATGGCATGTGGAAAAAGCCTGGAAGATAAGAAAAAAAAATAACAAAGAAACCGGAAATAATCCTGGACTTCTGTTCCACAGAGACAAAGCAGAGTATAATAAAACAGTATGGGCATGAAGAGGGAAGAAACAGATAACTCTGACATCCAGGGAGAGTGAGATTAGAAGCTTTCAGAGATACAGGAGTCTGCATCAAAAATACAGGGAGAAATCCTGTGCATTGAAAATAGCACTGGGCATCATTCAGACAAGAGAACTTTTAGAAATATAGGATAGATATTAAGCTACATATATATCCAGTAGATTTTATCTATTGACTCATCAGTTAATGAAAGGGATACATGGACAAAAGTATTGATAGATTCAGCAGAAGATAAAAATTTAATGAAAAGCTGCCACACAGTGCATTTGTACAGTATGAGAGTACTGGGATTATGAGAAGCTACAGGCTATCAGATAAACTAAATTCCTTGAGTCTATTAGGGACCATCAAGAATAAACTAGAGGGACATCCTGGTGTGAAGATACCTCAGCTCTCAGTCCCTTCACCCAAAGCACTGACTATATGAGCTAATGTCTCAGCAACACTTCCTCCATGTGTTAACTTATACCTCAATGTCCCACAGCCTTCAAGGTTTAGAGCTAAGAGCTTGTCGAGTGCCAAGGACAACCCTGTTTTAATGGAATTGCACTGGAACCAAGACAAACATC